TCCCGGGCACAGAAAGAATAAGGCCACTCCTTGAAAGCCCATGGGACACATCTGCACATGACATCACCGACCGAATCCAACTCTTCACCCCACCAGACGACCCTGGGAACTCATTCAAACAGGAATGGGCTGATGACCACATGAACTTTGTTGTGGAGTGTGAAGATGACCCAAACACACTGCTCGTCTACTCGGATGGATCCCGATACAAAGACGATGGCAGAATCAAAACTGGCTTTGGCACAGTAGGATACTCACACGGAAAAGTTGTCTTCGAGGAGAAAGGAGCAATGGGCGAACACATTGAAGCCTACGATGCAGAGATGATGGGCCTGAAAACAGCCGCGGATGGAATCAGACGCACCCTAGATGATGGTAACGTCACCACAAAACCCACCCGCATCGTCATATACGCAGATAATACTAGCGCACTAAAACGCGTCTTTCAGGGTAAACCTCGCAAGGCCCAGGAACTAGCCAGGGACTTCAGGAATACCATATGTGAAAGGTTTGCTTACTATTTTGGGGACGGTACGTTCCGTTCCCCCGTTCGCCTCAGGCCTCAGGTAGTCCGTCTAAATATAAGCTTTAATGTGCTGTATATTCAACGGGGTAGAGGTAAAAGGCTACCGGGCCTTTACAACTACTCCAAGGTATATATATGTAATTTACATATCTCGGCACAAATAAATAAAGAAATAAACACATCACTATAATGGGAATTATAGTGATGCAACATAATCCTTATATCACTATAATCGGAATTATAGTGAAGTAAGGTTAATCCCTTACAATATGCAAAGTCCTAACAGACTCTGAGGAGACGAAAATCGCATTGCACTGGTGCCCAGGCCATCTTGGAATTCCGGGGAACGAGAGAGCCGACCAGCTAGCAAAAGAAGGCGCACGACTTAGACCAGCCCGACCCAACTTTAAATCACTCTCATACATAGAGAGCCTGTGCAGGAGAGAGATGGCCGAAACATGGACTCACCGATGGACGAACACACCGAACCCCCCGAGATCGGGCTTCTACGCAGCGAACCAACTCGCACCGAAGCTTAGACCCACCAAACGGTTCAGAAAACCCGACAGAAAAACCTTCAGCCACGTAATCCAGTTCCGAACAGGACATGCTCACATTGGCGAGTATTACCACCGATTCGGAATCACAACGGAGAATAGAGCATGTCAATGCGGTAAATCAACACAAACGAGGGCCCACATTCTGACGGAGTGCCCCCAGACAAGTAGACACAGATACCTACTAGGACGCGGAAACCAGATGAAATTCCACATCCTCATGGGCAAGATGAAAGGCATAGAAAGGCTTGCCAATTTCATCAAAAAGTCCAAGACAGGCGACAAACCGACGACAACAAACACACCGCGAGGACCGCCATCGCCTGACCGACTCACAGGATAGATGAAGCAGAACAGAACTTGCAGGGGACAGACGGAACCTCTTCATTTTTTCCATTTCTTATTTTTATTTTTTATCACCACGACAATACCTATGGACACCACAGAACCCGAGGATCATTGACACCCGAATACACCAACCAGAATACCACCATGTATAGATACTAGAAAGGTTGCTTCGCAACCATGACCTTGCTTGCAGATCAGCAAATATTTGCAATGTTGCTCATCATGGGTTGCGACCAGACTCGTACCCAGTCTGGGTTGCGACGGAGTTCACCAAATTTACTCATGTCAGTTCAAGAAATTATTCTTGAGGTTAAGGATGCAATACTACCAAGCAAACATATGAGTTGAATCAAGAATCGGGTCTGTTCTTGGAAAACTATCAAAGATTGTTGGAATACGAGTCACATGATGAAACTGAACCGGAATATCCGGGAATATTCTATGGGTTACTAGGTGCCTGCGTAAGCGCTGGGCATAGAAGAGCCTGGAATATTGTTGAGAAGTATAAATATGGGTGCTGAAGCACCGTGTGTATTTTAGTTATATTTCTTTCTATATCACATCTGGGTTGCGAGTGAACTGCTGAAGCGGGTTGCCATATTTGGAACGCCGCGTTTACAACAAAGATGTAGAACTACCAAGCGAACATATCAAGAATAGGACTCTTCTTGTGAACATGTAAGTGACCATCTTGAGTTGAATCAAGGATGGGTTTGTTCACACAACACCGGACTTTTTGTGAACTCATCATGGCTTTCACTCTGTTACCCACCACCCTGCCTTCTTATCAGGTTGGATGGTGGTAATTAAAGTCAGGCCAGTGGTTTAGGAGTGGTTCCAAGTTTTGGGTCTACCAACTGCAAGGACAAACAATCAGCCATGTCATAATTGACCTGGTGCCACCTCTGATTGGAGCATTGACACCATTCAGTGTGTATGTGGTGCTTTCACGTAGCTCAGGCATTAAGACTGTCGCGAGACTTCGATGAATCGTTGTCCATGCGGCCTGTGTGCAAAGCCTTGAATGCACTAAATGCCACCGGAGAACTTCAGTCAGTTAAAGGTATGATGATGGTGATGACAACCATGGCATGACACAATTCATTGAATAGTCACATGCTATTGGAAATCACATGAGAAGTAAAAGTAATATAAACACATTTTTCCCACGCAATTGTGGGTTTGGAAGTGACCTTGCAAGCAAGGTAATTCCCCCCATGTACGCTCCAGTGGGATAGCCGCACTGCCACGTCATCACGAGGCCGCGGGGTATTAAGATAGATTTATCATCATCATCATGACGACTGTTCCTACGTAGCCTTATCCGCGTCATCCACTCCAACCAAAGCCCATTGACGCGATCCTCGGAGAATAGAGAACAGATTCTTCTTTATCACGCTCGATTCGTTGTATGAATGTCTGTCTCTGTTCTCCAATCCATATCCAATTGCCCAAGTCCTCCCGTCCCCAACCCACACACCCCCACCCGCACCTACAAAGAACAGCTTTCCCCACGCCCGTCAAACCTTCTCAATATAACCCTCGCCTTCGTACCTAACAAGTTGCCTATAATCCACTTCTTGCGCGTTCATCCCAGCACGCACGTACACACGCACCCACAACGAACACGTCCCCAGGCCCGTCGATCCTCCTCAACACACTCACTTTAACCCTCACTTTCCCTCCCGAAATGGGTCACGTTCGGAACGACCCTAGTGTCCCGCCTATAAAAAGGTGGGAAGGTAGAGGCTCGAGATTGTGAACGCTGGAGAGAGACCATGGTTGTGAATGCGTCGAGCGCTGACGTTCATCGCTGATTTCTTGAGGGTGAGTGTTCCGTCAACTTTGAGCTCCAAGCAGTTTGTGTTTTGGCGTTCCGATGTCCCATCATGAGTCATAGGTCGACTATTCACATTTTATCATCACCTCCGTATAGTCCACGTTAACTGGTCCTTTCATTTCCCAATTCGGCGACTGACGCTGGTCCCTTTGACATGACAATTGCCACATTTCTCCGACGATCGATCGCCAGATGTGAAACTACGATCGGGTTGGGAGGGAGTAAAGAGATTAGGTCATTGGAGAGTCTTGGACCTTCTGATCGTTAGGTGAGTAAACAAAAAAAATTGCCGATCTCACGTCTTGTTCTTAAGAACTCATCTCGCTCAAACCTTTCTGGGATTCATACTTAATTTCGCACTCTAAAGCCATGATGCCAAGTAGATCTTCTCGCGCGACTGTACCTCCACGAAACTATCGAAGCGCGAGATATAATCCTACTTTCCCAACCGATTAATATACAAACGATGGTCGGGACGCTACGAGCAGCATTTATGACAGAAGCCCTATGGTTCACCTGAGTGGGAGGGCTGAAGGCAAGAGGGCTACTTTGCCGGATGAGAAAGATGTGGCGATGGAAGTTCGGTTTGCAGCTGCATGTATGGGGTTATTGATCAAGACGGGCCATACGAGGGTGGCTTTAATTGTTCATCTCTCTCCTTTGATGGTAAGTTATTTTTCAGACGAAGAATGGTGGCCGTCGGGACGGATGCTAGCTCAGATATCATAGTTTCAGCTGCTGATGAACTCATCATGTCCACAGTCAAGCGTGGATAATGTTTGGCAAGTGGTAGCTCAACAGGGTAGGACGTGGATCGCGCCGGAAGTGTGCAATGAGCATACCTTTGGGCCAACGAGTGTCATGCGTTGAGAAACAAGCAGGAGCTTGGTAGCGTGTCCTCCTTTCCGCCTGAATGAGCGTAGTTTGGTCGTTATCATATCGGAGGACCAACCTTTGTGTGGGATTCAGGACGCGCAAGTATCAGCCTCTGCTTCACAGTCTGTCTGTCAGTTCCCGGGTTGGCAAGCACCAGCGCTGCTCATCATGGCTTTGGTCCGAAGGCTCTATCCAAAACATCGTATCTTGAACGCTGTTGTCTGAAGCCGTTAGCGACAAATTGAACGCTTTATCCGTCGTTGCTCAACAATAGTAGCGGGGCACATGACAATTGGCTGGAAGAGCCTCGGTTAAATGGATGCCAAGGCACTTAGTCCAAATTTGGACCCGGCCCACAAGAACCTAATTCAGTTTGGCTTTCGGCCCTGCGGTGCCCAAGCCACCGAGTTCGGATGGAGTTGGATACTCTTAGTCTAGTGAAATTGGATATATGATTACCACAAGTGGCTTTTCTGGTCTTGCTTTCACCTGCATCTCGATCCTCGCTTTGTCAGAGAAGGGAAAACTGGGACCACACAGCCAGCTTGAGGCCAGCTTACGTTTCGCGCTTGCCAGCGAGCTCAACAAGCCACATCACTTAGGCACTGGCTATGGTGACTGCCAACGCACCAATGAGAAACCTTGTCGTGGTGTTGTCCTTGTGTTGTTTAGCGTTTTCACTATCGCTCATCAGTCATCCTTCTTCGTATGCAGGCACGCGGTGGCCGTTCCTCGCATCTTCTCATTGGAGGCGCGACGCTGCACGCCCCACCAACTGGACCGGACCCCAGGTTCAACTAGCTCAAGGTCTCGTCACAGGTGTTAGCGTGCCCCAATTCCGCCAGGATTATTTCCTGGGGATTCCCTATGCTCAGCCTCCATTGGGTGAGCTGAGGTTTTCTCAGCCTCGACCACCGAAAGTGAATCCGAGTCACAGAATAGACGCCACCGCTTACGGAAAAGCGTGTTTGCAACCCGTTAGCCCTTTTTTCCCCTCGTTTTCTTCCCCAAACTCTTGCGAATAATTCCGTTCTTTAGCTTTTCGGGGGTCTGACGGGCTTGACAACCTCTGACTTGTCAGAAGATTGTCTTTTCATCAATATCATCCGGCCTTCAAACCTGCCCCGCGGTACGAAACTTCCAGTGATGGTTTGGATTCATGGAGGGGCTTTTTACTTTGGTGCTTCACAACTGTTCAACGGCTCGGCGATCGTCGCCCAAAGCGTTCTCTTGGTAGTTACTTCCTTCCAGCATCTCAACCCCCCCCCATCTTCTGATATTGAACATTGTTGTGACAATATCTCGAACATTCAGAACGAACCTGTCATCTACGTTTCCCTCAATTATCGTCTAAACGCCTTTGGGTTCCTTGGCGCACCTGAACTGGCAAGCGACCCTACGACCGGAACGCTCAATGCTGGTTTACATGATATGATCGGTGCATTGAAATGGGTGCAGGAGAACATTGGTGCTTTTGGAGGGAACAAGAACCGAGTGATAGGTAATGAATTCCGATCGATTCGCGGTTACAATAATCTGAATTTGGTCTGTCAAGTGTTTGGTGAGTCGGCAGGTGCGATTGCGATTGGGACTCTCCTCGTTGCTGGAGGAGGACATTATGTGAAACATCACAACTTATTCCATGGTGCCATCATGGAGAGCGGGGCTCCAGCAGGGTAAATTTGTAATCATCCATACCTTTGCTTCCTTTCTCCCCGATTTCCAAGTCCCTTGTCTGATTATCATTCCATTTCCATCGCTAGTCTCCCCGTTCCCACTGTATCCGATCTCGTACCCTGGACAAATATCTTCACTACTGCAGCAGGCTGTCTTCCTTCCAATCCCTCCATCATATCATGCCTTCGTTCGAAACCGTCCGAGGTGCTTTACCAAGCTTCGCTCGTAACGTTAAGCGCGACGACGGGCCTCGCACTCGTTTATAATCGAGTTGTGGACGGATTCTTTTTCCAGGAAGGGAAACGTGCGGCGGAAGAAGTAAGAAAGGGGAATGTAGCGGATGTGCCTATCATCACGGGGTGCAATCTCGACGAAGGAACGTTATTCGTACCACACACGTTTAACACTGCGGACGAAATAGTGAATTTTTTCAGAGGTTCGTGCATGTGTGTTCCTTGACCATTTCTCTCCGCGGCGGGAGAAAAAAAAAAAAACCAAATTGCAACGTCTCATCCTCTATAGTCTGCATATGGCTTACTTACACATTCATTTCCGGCTTTTTGGTTTTGTGCTTGTTCCATTGCGGGGCTGCAGTAGGATTATTATACGTTGGAAACCTTAGCGTAGCGACCCCAGAACAAACGAAGCTCTTCAAAGGCCTTCTGGAGTTGTACCCCGATATTGCTGCGATCGGAAGTCCCTACGAGCCTGTCGGGGTGAGTAAAGACGATCGGTTCTTCGGGTCGAATAATCAGTATAAGAGAGCTGCGAGTTTGCTTGGGGATATTGTCTTTCATAGTGGTGCGTACCTATCTACTCCGTGTCTGATCGAATGGGGGGGTGGAACATAATCAATGCTTACCAATGGAGTTCATTTCTTATTTGATGCGGGGGAATCATATCATTCAGGTCGACGCGCATTGTTGGATGCGTATGTTGAACACTTTGGTTTCCACCCGGCATGGACATACCTTTATACCCAAGTGACTCCAGATACACCAGCGTACCAAGGTGTCTATCACGGAAGTGAGCTCCCGGCTGGTGAGTTTGCAGTTCAACCCCCCCTCTTACCCTTCATCGCTGCCATAGCAGGTTTCTGATTAATTTTCACATGCCCCCCCTTCACTTTGAACTTTGCATCAATATCGGGCGGGTGGGCTATAAATCAGTATTTGGACTGTATGCTATACAGAATACAACCTCGGATCTGGGCAAAACGTCGTTAGTTATGATCAGCGCCTGGGTCACCTTTGCGAATTCTCTCGATCCTAACCGCCCTTCCTGTAAGCACGCCCCTCGGTTCCCACTTCTTCACTTCTGTTTTTTTTCTTACAAAGTTTGTTTTCTGACTCATTGTTCGTTTGTGTTTTGGTATGTTTGCGTGGCGGGCTCTTTCAAGTGCTGCCATTTTGGCCTAGGTACGGATGGGAACGTAACATGTTACGAATTGGGAATGGGCACTTCGATCTCATTAGGGATAATTTTCGAAAGGAAGGGATAGAGTTCTTGCAGAGGAAAGAGTTCACGGATGTGTTTAACTTTTGAGGCTCAGGTTGTTATAACTGGTCTCCTCGCTGATGAGTTTTGAGGAGACCAAGACCTGGTTGTGGGGGGGGTGGCCTAATCTGGATTTGGACTCAGGCACTCCCCGTTTCTTGGGCAAGGTTGCGTGAATGCGCTGCGCTTAGTTTATAACCGATGGATAGTTTTCTTTTCATTGGGGTTTTTTTTTTTAGTTCCACATTGCTGGAACTAAGGTTGAGTATATTCTTGCCGTTGACACCGTATCTAGCGCCTGATACGCTAGGTAGTCACATTTAGATATTACTATTGGGACTGAACGTCTATATTCCAAACAATGTATGCGTTGGGATCATGACGTGACATACGGAAGGACTCCTCGACCGTTCGATGACACCAATGGCATCCGTTCGATGTTTTCTAGCTAGAACCCGACCCGCCACAAATGTTCATCGTATCCATATGTATCAGCCGTACACGTGAACTTCCCCCATATTGTGTTGTGCAGACGTACCGCAACGACGGACCAGGAGTGCGAGCAAGACACAGAGGAGGCTGAGTAGGAGATAGGATAAGATGTAGATTGACGATGGGAAGAGGACAGGAGACGCGACAGGAAGCGTAGACGGCATCACAACTTATACAGACGACACACCCTGAAGACACAACAGGAAGTTCTTGTCCTATATGGACATATCACTTCCGATATAGTTTGGTCTTGCTTAGTACACCGTAGTTTCATCTAATGGATGGCTGCAGTGCATTACCACGAGGCCGGCTGCGCAAGGAGTGCGTTCTTACATGTTGTCGAACTCAGACTCGTGACATAGAACGATGAGTCATGGAAGACGTATTCTGAACTCTAGTGGGAGCCCAACTTCCAAAACGCTGAGATCCAAATTCCTAAGAATGGGGACCGCTGGACAACAGAGAGTCACATAAGGGAATGAGACAGCAGAGAGCCTTGGTGCTTACATAATATGTAAGCAATGGAGCCTCACTCCTCGGAATCCCGCAGTCCGATCCTATTCACCAATAAATTTTCGCCGCGGGTTCCGCGTCCGTATCGGCAATCTGACTAATCACACCACGCTAGGGTCACAGTCCGCAATGACTTCTGTGTCCCCTTTTGCTTCGTCGGGGAGAGCTCCGGTCACAGCACCAGCGAAAAGCGCAGACGCTTAGTATACGCCACCCTTTAACACAGAATGCTATCCACTGATACGCAGTGGCCTCTACTAGCGACATCACCTCAGGACTAGCTATGGGGACTACTAAGACAGCGATGAGAAACGCTCTCCTCGTAATTTCCTCACTGTGCTATTCTGTTTTTTTCACTACCACTCGTCAGTTGTTCCTCCTTGTACGCTGGTGCGCGTCACTGACTGCGCGATGTCCCATCTCCTGCCAACTTGGCCGGACCTCAGGTTTAACTAGCTCAAGGCCTTGTCACCGGTCTCAGTGCGCCTCAATTCGGTCAGGATTATGTTCTATGCTCGGCTTCCACGGGAAAATTGAGTTTTGCAAAGCCCCGACCACTGAAACCGAATCCTGGCCAAGTCACAAGGTGGACGCCACCAAGTACGGAAAAGCATGTTTTCAACCGCCCTGATGCGCGTCCCTTGTTCTCGTAGCGATTTTCCTTCCATTTTTGCGGATGATTCGTTTTTAGTTCGTCCCGGGCTTGACTTTTTGGATCTATGGAGGGAGTTTTCTTTACGGTGCATCGCAACTATATACTGGCTCGGCGATCGTTGGGCATACGAGTACTTCCTTCCGGCATCTCAGCCCCATTTTCTGACATAAATATGACGCTATTGTCACAATATTCAGAACGAATCTATCATCTACATTACCGTCTAAACGCCTTTGGTTTCCTTGGTGCCCCTGAACACATGCCGTCGGAACGCTCAATGCTCGCTTACACGATATGATCAGTGCACTGAAATGGGAGCAAGAGAATATCGGAGCTTTTGGAGGAAACAAGGATCGAGTGACTGGTAAGTTCCTTCCTGATCGATTTGAAAATGACCAATGTGAAGTTTGAAATTTCGACCTGTCACAAGTATTTGGTGAATCGGCAGGCGCGATTGGGATTGGGACTCTCCTTGTTGCTGGAGGCGGACAATTTGTGAAACAGCACAATCTATTCCATGGTGCCATCATGGAGAGCGGAGCTCCAGCAAGGTAAATTGTGTTACACCCGTCGGTTCCTTTGCTTCCCTAGTCCCTGGTTTGATCATTGTATTCCCCAGTCTCACTATTCCCACTGTATCCGATCTCCTACCCTCGATAGATATCTTTGCCACAGTAGCAGGCTGTCTTCCAGGCTCCAGTTCCTCGATGATATCATGCCTTCGTTCAAAACCTTCTGAATCACTTTACCAAGCATCACTCGTAACATTAAATGCAAGCGACGCGCTCCCTTTCAACCGAGTTGTGGATGGGTTCTTTTTCAAGAAGGGGGAACGTGCCGCAGGAGAGGTGAGAAGGGGTAACGTGGCAACTGTGCCTATCATCACGGGATGCAATCTCGACGAAGGGACGTTCTTCGTACCCCACACATTCAATAGGGACGTTCACGGCACTCACAACTCGGGCAAAACTACTGTACTAACACGACCAACAACCGGTCACGCGTCACACGAAGGTCTTGGATTGAATTAAGAATCAACACAACTGAATTGATTGGGTGCCTCCGGCAATTCCCGGAGGCCGTGGTAACCGGTTGTTGGTCGTGTGAGTACAGTAAGTCACAAGAATGCCAAAACTCACCACTCTTGTGTGACAGTTTTCAGAGACTTTTGAGTAAGTTTTGAGTGCAGCAAAAGGGCATTCACAGCGACAGGTTCAAAACACTGTCATAATGGACCCTCTGAATCAACGCACAAGTGGGGGTCGGCAAATGAAGGGAGTGGTCCGAGAAAATAAAAATTGCACGTGATTTCGAAATATGGCCACTGTGCCCACCTGAAAGCCACTCCATTTAACCACACAACTTCTACTAAGTATTATATAATTATTGCCCGATAATAATATTAAAATGCATGTGGTATGGGAACTTACTTTGAAACAAGTTTATACATAACTACAGTATGTTGGAAATTCACAACCTTTTCTCATGCATCAGTGGGATTCTCAAAAATCTGACTGACCAAAACCTGCATTCACCCCCATAACGCAATCACTGTACCCATGTGACCAACTACCAGTGCATCCCAAGCATGACACAAAATTTCTGCCAGGTGATGAACCGGGAGCTCATTTTGATGCGTGACAACCCAACCAGCAGGCGCGTGACCTTGACTGTGGGAGCATGATCCAAAAGGAAACCAACATGCTGATGGTCACGTTTGGTAGCCAGAATAAATGTGATTAATTTGAAAATGAGTTTCCCTTTAAAATTTCTTTGCACCTAAGTTTTGCTCTTGCGCAACATATCTGCTCTTATACAGATGAGCCCATCCTGTACAGCAGTATCCCAAATGCACTTATCGGATCCTACTTTCCCAGACACACCCTGTCCGTCGCTGGGTTTCTCCAGTTCAAACTCCCGTCATCCAAACAAATTTATCTGCATCTCCCAGTAATTCCGGCACCCTTGATGATATCACCACGCTCCCTTCCTCTAGCCTCAGCTTGGATCTTGGCTGTGGAATGCGAGCGAGGCGGACACACAATTTGGAGGAGATGAAGATTTTTCACTTCTAATATAAATATGACTAAAAAGGGCATTTGAAATATAGTTGCATAGCCACTGAGCCGCCACCCAGAAATTTGCATGACATGGGCTGTTCAACTGCACCCCCAGCGTGACGCGTGACATGACTGTCATTTCGGCCGGACCAGGAGGCCAGCATGACGCATGACCGGTAGTTGGTCACGTGGGTACAGTAGGCTAACTCTGTGCAATGTATGTCTATACTCATGTAAAGACTGCACATAAAAATATCCAAATGTCGCTAGGATACTCCCTGGAAGTTTGGGGCTGTCACATGCAGTAATCAAAGAGCTATGTGTTACAGGCCTCATGGGGCTAAGGCACAAGAGATGTGGACAAGGTCAGAAGCAAGGGCTCAGATCACAAGGAAACAAGACAAGAGAGACAAGGGCTAGATGCTGAGATCAATTGAGGCGAGTAACCTGTGTTGATCAGCTGAGGGTAACCTTAGCTGATCAACAGTCTATATATACATCGAGAGTTACAGTTTGGACTAGGCTGAATGCAAAGTGTATCGGTTTTGAACAAGTCCGACATGTGAGTCCATTAAGTCCATTGGTGTTATGCTAACCATAACATTATCTTCTGTTAGACACGGGTCCGGGGTCGGCACCGGGGGTTGCCGTTGCAGGCTGATATAGGCTGCAATGGCCATGATGCCATGAACAAGGCCCAAGGGTAGGGCATTTGGCCTCAGCAACTCTAAAGGAGCGCTGTGCCCCCTAGCTGTCTCTTGGCCCTCATTTCAGACTCACTGGGGTTGCCTTGCTGGGGTCAGGACTTGGGGAGTCATGGTCAAATCGATATTAGAGCTAAAGTATTATAATGTATCATACAGGGTATATATAGGAAGATGAAATGAATGGAAGCGGACCTGGGCTGAAGGCCGAAGGGTCCGGAAGCAAAAGGGAACAAAGAGCGGGGTTGGCCACACAGCAGCTGGCAATGACTGAGGGTCAAAACAAACAATAACAGATAAATATGCGAAGGAGTGTAGGGCTGTGATAGCGGCAATGGTATCGTAGCGGCACCAGACTCGGAGTTGGGTGTGGGAACGATAGTGACCCAATGAGGGCCAAGCAGGTGGAGTAGGAGGAGTTGTGCTGGGCACAGTGCCAGAGGCAGACTTGGGGTGGGAAGGCTGGTGTGGCTGGAGGGGAGTCGGCCAGGTGCAGGGGAGCCTAGGGGCAAGCAGGGGGGTGAGCAGGGGGTCCTCAAGGAGAATAGGGATGAGGGTCGGGGCTCACGCTCATGCTTGTGCAGTGGGACGGGCTCAGGCGGCATCGGGACAGGTGGCTAACGGGCCGGAATGCATGGCTGTGACATCTTCCCTCTTTTCAAAATGCCATGATTATCATTTCGTGATAGATTCAGTGATTTTGTCACAGTCAATTGGGTGGGAAAGATGCCCAGAGCGTGTTGTTGTCTGCATTGGTAGTGTGTAAGAATCCAGGTGGCACATCAGCTGTGGGAGCAGAGGGGCAGGAGCTAAGACATCTACTGGCTGTACACGAACAGCTTTGGTGTCCAGAAAAAGTTTTGCTGGTCTTGGCAGTTTTGAATGTCGGTGGTGAAAAGTTTCTAGCATCTTGTTATACCTATCTGGGATGTTGGAAAGTAATAGCCAGGATGTTTCATATGCAGGTTTATCTGATTGTTCCACCAAGTACTCAAATCATCAGCCAGTTTTGCAGACGTCTAGGATCCTTTTGATATTCAAAGGGTTGTTGCCAAACAGCACCAGACCGGGATCTGCAGCAGGGTGATCGATTTTGAGGCAGTTTTGGAACACTGCTGGGTCGATGTAAGGCTCAAGAAGGTTGACATTGAAAACCAGGTGCAGGCACAAGAACGAGGGCAGGAGTTCCACATGATATGCATTTTTTCCTATCTCATGGATCACCCTGAAAGGTCTGATCCTTTGATAATCCAACTTCACTGAAGGATGATTGCTCTGAATGTTTTGATGCAGCACCATAACCAATTCACCAGGCTTGAAGCAGGGAGCCAAGGATCGCTTCCGATTGTACTGTTTCTTTGCCACCTCTTGTGCTAATTCCAGCTCTGCTTGAAGTTCATCCCAAATAGAATTCATGTGTGAAATAAAATTGCTTGCTGCAGGGTTGCGGATTTGAGTCAGTACTGAAGTGAAGGTTGGATGAAAGCTGTAATTCACAAAGAAAGGGGATACCTGCATAGACTCATGGCAGGAGTTGTTGTACTGAAACTCGGTGATTCCAAGGAAGTCAACCCAATCGTCCTGTTGATACGAGCAATAAACCTGCAGAAACTGTTCCAATATCGGGTTGACCTGCTCAGTTTGCCCATCAGTTTGTGGATGATACACAGTGGATAGATCTAAGTGCACTCGTAACTGTGATGTCAGGGCCTTCCAGAACTCGGAGACAAAGACCGGTCCCCAGTCGGACATGATTGAAGATGGGAAGCCATGAATTTTGAAGACATTTGCCACAAACAATTGTGCTAGACCAGGCACATCCAGATATTTATGAGTAGGGATGAAATGAGCTTGCTTGGTTAATCAATCCACTACTACCAGGATCGAGTCGAAGGAGTGTGATGTTAATAGGTCTGTAATGAAATCCATTGAAATCTCCTCCCAGTTCCTTTTCAGGATTTTCAATGGTCTCAGTTCTCCATAGGGGGCATGGTGGCTTGGTTTCATTTGTTGACAAATGTCGCAAGAACGTACATATTTCCGGATGTCTCGGGTGAGGTCTGGCCAGTTATAATCTCAATGGATCAAAGCCAATGTTTTGCCATGACTGTCAGAGACCTGGTCGAGACGAAGGAGTGTCTCTGTGGCGGAGGGCTTCGGCCTCAGCAACTTGTGCCAGGAGCGCTGTGCCAAGTAACACGTCCATGCCCTAACTTACTAAACTGGCAACCAGAACTGAAGGGGGTAAACTCTAGTCGATTTTATTACTGAAGTGTAACCTATGTACAAATTGAGTATATATAGTTACAGCGAGGGCGGGTCCGCAAATGGCAGAGCGGAGCTAACGGGGTTAGACATTAGCTGATTGAATATTACCGATGAGTCGGGTTATGGGGTTAACGGAAAGGCAGGCGATAACCCAGAAATGGAAAGGAGGGATAGGCCCAAAGGTGGGCTTTGCAGGGCAAGCAAATGTATTGTCCAGTGGAGGCAGGAGTGCGCTAGCAGATGTCAGAGCTGTCTGGAAGCCTTCGGGGCTCCGTACTTAGGGAGGCATAGGTAATAAATTGAAAGGAGGGGGTGGTGACCATCGAGGGGTACCGAGGGGATTGCGGAATATGGGAGCTCCGAGGTTAGTGAAGAAGGAGCGGAAGTGGACCGGAGGGATCGGAGGGATCGGAAGTCGATGGCCAGGGATGGATATGACAATGACCTGAATGTCCTGCCAGCAGACTATTGTGTCGTTCAAATAAAATATGGCTTCATAGACTAGGTGGCACATAAGCCTTTTCTCGACAGAATGGAACCTCTCCTACTAATTTCCAATCCTTGTGCCCATTCTCTACAGCTTCCTTCCAGGTGTCATCTTTGGACAAGGCCTCCTTTAGCACATTGTAGGTTATGGGAATGTCCTTCATCAGTCCAGAGGATGGGGGTATGGGTACAGACTGGGTGAATGATTTAGAGTTGATAGTAGGCATGGCAATGACTGGCTCTGGCTTGAGCCATAACCTTTCTGTGTGTGATAGCGACAATAAGGTCTGAAGATTAACGTCCTTCACTGGGTCTCCCTCAACTGGGATGAAGTCAGGGCAACATGAGGGGGGATCTGCTGGATTTTCCTTCCTGGGGGCATAGGAAAGTTTGAAATTAAACTCTGAGAGTTCTAGAGACCACCTGGCTTGTCAGCGATTAAGTTGTTGTAAAGTCATGAAATATTCAAGGTTCTTGTGGTCCGTGATAACAGAAACTGGCTCCTCCATTCCTGCTAACCATGGCCTGAATTCCCTGAATGATTCCATGATTCCCAACATTTCCTTGTCATGGACACTGTAATTGATTTCTGAATCCGCCAGCTTCCTAGAGTAATAAGCTAGAGGATGAAGTTCCCAGAACTGTCCTGTTGGTGTGGGATTCCTGAAATGGCATAATCTGAGGCATCGGTGAAGAGGAAGATCAGTAGGGCAGGGTTATGGTGAACTAGAATGGGCGATGATGTGAAAGCATTCTTTAGCTCATGGAATGACTTGAGGGCAGCGCCAGCTAATGGCCACGAGTGTCATATCCATGCATACCCGACCCCGACCCGACTTCCGGACCTCCACCCTCTTCACCTCCGGAGTCATAACCTACCGTTGCCATTCCGATACTCACCTTCGGTCCTGGCAAACACACCTCCCCCTTACCTCTCCGACCCTATCTCCGTCCGCTCCGATACTCATCCCGGACCGAACATCGCCCCACTCGCCACCCTCCTACTACTCCGCTCCCCCTTCACAACACCTCCACCCTCCCGTTATCCTCCTACGCTTCCCCCGTCCGCTCCGATACTCACCTTCAGACCTGACTACTCTCCTTTCCGCCACCCCTTCTCCCCTTACCTGTCCCCTCTCTCCTCCCTCCGTTACTCCTCCGCCACCCTTCCGCCAAGTTACGACCTTCCACCGCTGTTCCATACTTCGCACTCGGACACCGCTCGTACCTTACTCCGAGCCTCCGTCATAGTCCCTACCTCGGACTTTGACTCCACCTTGGCCTTAGTCCATTGCATTGGTGACCTCATACTACGTAAACACCATTGCCAATATTCCTCGGACTTCCAACCCCGCCTCCGTAACCTCCGTAAGCTCCGCAACCCCCGAGCTTCGCGGACCGCCTTCGGCACTCTCGCCGCCTGTAATGTATTCCTCACGTTTCCCCTTCACCCCTATTTGGACTACTGCTTCTTTCTATTCTAGCCAGTTAGTCATCATCCCCACTTCCCCTCATCCTCCTGCCCCTCTGGGGCTCGCCCTCCCTATCTCCTTTCGGATGTATCACAGGTCCTGCCTTATGACCTTCGGTACCTATCCGCTCCTTCTACCCTTTGTTCCCGTTCGGACGTCTTTGCTCCGATTCGGTTACCCTTTGTTTTCCTTGTGCTTTTGCCCCTTCCATTATATATATCAGCGCTTGTACATACTCGTTTTGGTTTAGTCCGAAATCGACCTGAAATGCCCCCTAGAGACTTCCTGCTCACCTACTGTGAAATTAAGGACCAAATGGACAAACAGCAATGGCACAGCGCTCCGCTTGAGTCGCTGAGGCCAAGGTCCCTCCACGCTAAGTCTCCGATTCCACTCCGGAGTCGTCCGCTTCCGCCCCGTTCTAACAACGAGACTGGAACTTCCTTTCTGGTCATCTTGATCAATGGGGCTGCAATACTCGAGTAATGCGATATGAACCGTCGATAAAAGTTGGCAAACTGTCAGGGATCAGCAATGACCCTGGTGTTAGAATCAGGCGGATTCGGACGACTCCGGAGTGGAATCGGAGACTTAGTGTGGAAGGACCTCGGCCTCAGCGACTCAGGCGGAGCGCTGTGCCATTGCTGGTTGTCCTAGGGGTCCCTAATTTCGGATCTAGCAGAGGGAAAGTCTCTTGGGGGGAATTCAAGTCGATTTTGGACTGAGGTTACAAGTTACTAGGTACATTGTATATAAGGAGGGGTCCAGAATCAAAAGGAACAAGGGTAGGACAAAAGGAGACAAAGGGAGATGGAAAGAGGAACAACACTGAGGGTCAAGTGTTTGACTCAATGGTGTTTCCCAAAGGAGGAATGAAGGGCCAAGGCCCAAGGAGGAAGGAAGGAGGATGGGAGTCGGGAATGGCTAGCTGACTGAATAGAAGGAAGCAGCAGCCCAAATAGGAATGAGGGAGAATAGCGGAATTGAAATGGACAATGCAATAGTTGCAAGGTCTGGAGTAAGTCCGGAAAGTCCGAACTCGGAGGTTAAACTCCGGAATATTGGCAAATGTAATTAAATGGAACGAGCTAACCAATACAATGGGTATAAGCGGAGGTGGGGTCAAAGTCCGAGGTCGGAGCTAAGACCGGAGGTTCCGGAGTCGGGAACATAGGTGTTGCATGCTCGTCTGGAAGGTGTCGAGGATGAGGCCGGACCCGGAATGTTCCGGAGTCGGACCGAAGGTGGTGTTGGAGCCGGAGGTGGGATAACCTCTTGGAAATCGGCAAGGAGGAGGTGGCAAAAGGGAAGCAGGACTCTGGAAGTCAGGTTCGGAGTTCCGGGAGCCCGGAACGGAGGTTGGGATTGTATGGATATGACACCTGGACCCTATGCCAGCTGCGCATATGTGCATGGGAAGTATGCCAGCAATTCCCGTCTACTCCGCTTACCTAAGCTCCGGTGGCCTGGATCATCTCTGGCATTGTTCTGGAACATTCTATGATCATGTGATTCTATCAGCAATCCATTTGGTTTCCTTATTGCCGGACTCTACATGTATATAGCTGACCCTAAGATGGGGACTCCTTTCCCCTGGCTTTAATCACAACTAGGTTATTGGAGCAACCTGCACAAGCACGCACATCCCCTGACTGTCATATCCATCCCTGGCCATTGACTTCCGGTCCCTCCGATCCCTCCGGTCTACCTCCGCTCCTTCTTCACTAACCTCGGAGCTCCTGTATTCTGCAATCCCCTCGGTACCCCTTGATGGTCACCACCCCCTCCTTTCAATTTATTACCTACGCCTCCCTAAGTACGGAGCCCCGAAGACTTCCGGACAGCTCTGACGTCCGCTAGCGCACTCCTGCCTCCGCTGGGCAATACACTCGCCTGCCCTGCAGAGCCCACCTTTGGGCCTATCCCTCCTTTCCGTTTCTGGGTTATCACCTGCCTTTCCGCTAACCCTGCGACCCGACTCATCGGTAATATTCAGTCAGCTAATGTTTAAACCCCGTTAGCTCCGCTCCATTCGGCTCCGCCAATTGCGGACCCGTCTTCGCTGTAACCATATATATATCCCACTTGTACATAGGTTACACCCCAGTAATAAAATCAACTAGAGTTACCCCCCCCTTCGGTTCTGATTGCCAGTCAGTAAGTTAGGGCACGGACGTGTCACTAGGCACAGCGCTCTTGGCAGAAGTCGCTGAGGCCAAAGCCCTCCGTCACGGAGACTCTCCCTCGTCTCGAATCCGGTCTCTGACAGTAACCATATATATATCCAACTTGTACATAGGTTACACTTCAGTAATAAAATTGACTAGAGTTAACCCCCTTCAGTTCTGGTTGCCAGTTAGTAAGTTAGGGCATGGACGTGTTACTAGGCACAGTGCTCTTGGCATAAGTCGCTGAGGCCGAAGCCCTCTGCCATGGAGACTTTCCTTCGTCTCAAACCTGGTCTCTGACACTTTTGCTTCCCGCTCCGCAGTTTTTGCGGCACGTTCCTCAGATGCGCTCTCTTGCCCAAGATATCAATGGACAATACTGGGAGCGCAAGGGTGAGTTGTCACACTGTCCGAGAGATCGAGCTACCTCACCCGACTCCTCCAAGCAGAACGCGAAATTGGGCAAGAACTCGAAGTACTCTAAGTCCTCCAATCCCCCTGACTCCACATCCGACCCCTCCACCTCTGCTGATCGCTCTACCAAGGACCCTAAAAAGTCCAAGGGAAAGCAACTGTCATATCCATCCACAGCCACCACCCTCGACCACCTCTGCTCCTCCGGATCTCCTCCACTCCTCCGCCACCAACCTTGGAGCCTCCGGTTTCCACGATCACCTCCAACCCCCCCGATGGTCACCACCCCTCCAATTCAATATATTACCTATGCCTCCCTAAGTACGGAGCCCCAAAGCTCTCCGGACAGCTCCGACTTCTGCTAGCGCATTCCTGCCTCTGCTGGGCAATTCACTTGCTTGCCCTGCAAGTCTACCTTCAGGCCTATCCCTCCTTTCCACTTGTGGGTCATAACCCATCATTCCGTTAAACCCGCAACCTGACTCGTTGGTAATATTCAATCGGCTAACATCTATCCCCATTAGCTCCACTCCGCTTGGTCCCGCTATTCACAGGCCTGCCCTCGCTGTAACTATATATACTTAACTTGTACGTAGGTTACACTTCAGTGATAAAATCGACTAGAGTTGATCCCCCTTTTAGTTCTCATTGCCAGTAAGTAAATTAGGGCATGGACATGTAACTTGGCACAGCGCTCCTGGTCTGAGTCGCTGAGGCCGAAGCCCTCTGCCATGGAGACAACTCCTTCATCTCGCTCAGGTCTCTAACAGTATTTTATCACTCCCTGACAGTACACATCTTGTATGGCACCCAAAGCCCCTCGCACTTGTTTGCAACTACGCACATTGGTTCCTAACTCTGCCTCACTGTCCCCCGAACCCTCTCAGCCTGGTCCTAGTTGTCTGGCGAGAAACCCAGTTGAGTTTCGCAGCTTCTCTAATTTAGAAACCCCTCTCCTGTTGACTCTGATCATGCATCCTGTTAGAAATCGATCACCAGTTGCAGATTCCGACTTCGGAGACACCACGGAACAGCCCATAGATCCAGTTCACTTCTTTGGACTCGGTTCCGAGGTCCCCAACTTCGTCGACCCCCCTCCTGCTGATCCTCCCATCCCTACTGTCCCAACTGCTGACGATGCCGAACCCATCCCCAACGTAGCTATCACACAGC